AAGAGCCACCGAACTAAGGATAAGAGTAAAGATAAAGCAAATACAAAGAAGTGCAAACAAAAGTTTCAAAAGGCCTTGTGGGTGAACTCGGAATGAGAAGCATTAGAAGGTGAGGAGGTAACCAACTTTTTTTAATTGCGAAAGACAGCATTGGGGATTCCGAAAATTATGAGGAATGCACTTACAGGAGATCTAGTGAGAGCATAAAGTACCTAGACAGTGGATGCTCGGGGAATATGATTGAAGATCTAAAGCAATTCATCACGCTGGATGCTAGGAGTAGAGGTAAAGTCATCTTAGGAGATAATACGACAAGGAAGGTAGTAGGTCTAGGTACTATTGGCAAAGCTAGTGGATTTATAATTGAAAATATTTTATTAGTTGAAGGATTAAATTTAAGCATTAGTCAATTATGTGACAAATGATTTAACATTAAACTTCTTTCTAACAATTGCTTAATTATTTGAAAGGGAAAAACTGATAGAAAGAATGATAATAAACAACATTTATATGCTTGACTTTAGTATATTGACACATTTAATAGTGTTTTTTGCTTGAAAACTATTGTAAATAAATCTTGGCTAGGGATAGGAGATTATGCCATGCAAGTCTGAAAACATTAAAGAAAATAACTCAATTAGATTTGGTTAGATGCATCCCTAAATTAGAATTATCCAAAGATCATTATGTGATGCATGTCAATTAGGGAATCATACTAGGTCATCCCTTCAATCAATTAAAGACATTGTAACCACTACTATACTAGAAATCCTTCACATGGACTTATTTGGAGTCGTCAGTATATCTAGTCTATGTGATAAGATATTTGGATTTGTAATTGTGGATGTTACTCTAGGTTCATCTAGGTCAAATTTTTAGCGAATAAATGTGAACCCTTTGAGGGGTTTATAACCTTTTCTTTTTGGATTCAGAGGAAAACATGATGTGTAATCTCAACCATTCATAGTGATGACGAAGGTGAGTTTGAAAATGAAAAAATTGAATTATTTTGTCAAGAATCTGAAATAGGTCAACTTTTTTGCCCTTAGGATCCCACAACATAATGGAGTAGCTGAAAGAAAAAATAGAATGTTGGCAATTAATACTACCTGTTATGTGCTAAATCGAGTGAACATTAGTTCCAAATTAAATAAAATATCCTATGAATTACTTAAGGATATAGCACCAAACCTATCTCAACTGAATGTTTTTTGGGGTTTAAATATTTTATAGTTATTAATAAAAAACCTCATTTAGGAAAGTTTGATGTTAAGGCTGATGTTGCGATATTCTTAGAGTATTACTTAGTAGGAATAGCTTATAGAGTATTTAATATAAGAATTTTAATGGTGGTGGAATCCGCCCATGTGGTATTTGATGAATCAGATAGAATTGCTTAGACTGTGATAAATGATGATGATGAAGCTGAAATAACTCATACAATAGAGGATGCTGATATAGAAAATAGAGAAGAACTGAGGATCATTTGCTTGCGTAGAGAATAGAGATACTCATCTAGTCACCCTAGGAAGCTTATCTTAGGAGATCAATCTGTAGGGGTTATGACTAAGCAAGATGTTAGAAGGAGGTTAGCTACACAACATTTATTTCGTTGATATAACCACTAGTATAGAATATAGATCAAGCTTTAGCTGATAAATTTTTGATTATAGGCATGCAAAAAGAGCTTAATCATTTTATTAGAAATGATGTGTGGGAATTCGTAAAATGACTCTAAGATCGAAGTATAGTTGGGATAATATGGGTATTTAAAAATAAATTAAATGACTTTGGATCAGTAGTTCGAAACAAAGCTAGGTTTATAGCTAAGGGGTACAATCAAATAGAAGGAATAAATTTTGAAGAAACCTTCGCCCTCATAGCTAGGTTAGAGGCGATAAAAGAGCTATTAGCCTTTGTATATTTTAGAGGATTTTAATTATATCAAATGGATATTAAAAATGCCTTTTAAATGGAATTATTAGAGAGGATGTCTATGTAGAATAGCCCCTAGGTTTTGAAAATTTACCTTTTCCCAATCACATATATAAACGTAACAAAACATTTTATGACCTTAAGCAAGCACCTAGGGAATGTTACAATAGACTTAACAACTTTCTATTAGAGAAATCATTTGTTAAGGGTAGTATTGACACCACATTATTTCTTAAGAAAGTTGTAGAAGATATAATCATAGTATAAATTTATGTTGATCTTATTATCTTTGGAACTACGAATGATAATTTATGTAATGAATTTTCTGCCACTATGCGTTTGAGATGAACATTATGGGTGAGTTGACTTATTTTTTAGGTTTTAATGTTAAGAAGAGAGAACATGGTACCTTCCCAAGACAAACAAAATATATCAAGAAAATTTTAAAAAATTGATATGGAAGGTTGTAAATGCATGAATATTTTATTAGATTTTGGATTTCCCATAGGAACAATCCCTATTATATGTAACAATACTAGTGCGACTTATATTTCAAAAAATCCCATTCAACATTCCTGCTCTAAATACATAGATATTAGGCACTACTTCTTTAGGGATCATGTAGCCAAGCGAAATGCAGAATTACAACATGTTAATACTAAAAAATAATTGGCAGATATTTTCACTAAACCCCTAAATTATACGTGCTTAAAAATTGGAGTATTTGCATGCTTATTGTGTTGTTTGTATACTTTTGTTTGTTTGTTTTTTGTGTTTAGTCTATTTGAGTTTTATGCATGATTGTGTGTTTTCGTGCTTTATTCCAGGTATGTGCTTTAGTAGTTTATTTTCCCTGTTTTGTAGTATGTTTGTAGTTCCTCATTTTGGTGATGTTAAAAAGGGAGTAGGTAGTGTTTGTTGTATCAATTTTTTTTTAATTAATTCAATTTTTATATTGCATTTTTGTTCTTCAGTGATTGTGTGTTATGTGTTATTTTATGTTGTTTGTTTAAAATAAAAAATGATAAAATTAATAAAAAAATTTAAATTAAAAATTAAATATTTTTCCTATTTTTTAAAGAAAGCATTTTAAAAAAAGAGAACTTAGCAGAAAATTAAAATTAAAACTTGCAATTTTGAAATCTTAATCAATAATATTTATTATCATAAAAAAGGGAGATTATTGAAAGACAAGAGCCTGATTTTCTGTTTTGATGAGTACAAACATTATTAGATGTTTATTTTGTTATTCTTGCATTATATATTGGATATCTATTTTTATATGCATCACTAACCTTTCAGGTATAGCTACACCAAGCAAGAGTAAAAGGATAAAAGCTTAAGACAACCTGTGTTCATGTATAAGTCGGTCAATGTTTTTTATTTTTCTTATGTCTATTTATGTATTAGGTGTATGTTAGCTTAATAATTGTATACACACTTATTAGGAGAGTGAAATTAAATATTTTAATTTTTTGTTAATTGTTATGTATGATCTAGATCGTACTATTCGATCTGTTTAAACAAAAATTATTCAAGATATTTAATTAAATATTAAATATAACTAACTCTATTATACTACCATCACAACATATTGTACTGTATGATCAACTTTATTAAGAAACCCCACCGTCAAATCTTGATTACTTAAAGTAGATAAATTTGAATTTTGAAATTTAAATTGTACTTGCTATATGATTAAATTTGTACTGTACGAATATTAATTAAAATTGCCTAATTTTATCCCTAGGATTAATGAATCGAATCAGATTTAATCTTCATTTTTGATCATACTATACGATTGTCAATCATACGGGACGATCGATTGAGACCTCTCTTGGACAAACTTAGATCGTTTTGGGCATTCTATTATTCCATTCAACTAATCGTACTGTACGATCAGAAGTTGTTTAATTGAAAATTAAGATTTTTGAGAAACCTCTTACTAAAATTTTTTTTCTTGAGGAGAAAGCCTTTTGGCAGTTAAGTGATGTTTTCTTTTTTGTGAGAGAGCTTGAAGAGTCCACTTCACACAGGAGAAAGGAGGTGAGGTTGAGATAGAAAGAAGAGCCTTTTGGGAGTCAAATGAGTGTGAGCTCTAGGGAAGGGAGTCTTTGGGGCCAAAGACCCTCTAACCGAGGAGGCTAGGGATTTAGCATCTCCGTTGGGCTTTGAAGAGAAGGGAGGTATTGAGTATTTTCGTTGGGCTAGGAAGAGAAAGGAGGGATTCAATGTCCATTAAAAGAGAATCATAAAGTTAAGTGAAGTGTTGTAGAGAATAGGATAATCTGGTGGATGAGCAGCTTTACTTTTTTAGACAATGCAAAATGAGTAATTTCATGAAACGTTTGGAGTTGCTCCTATGGCAAATAAGATTGAGTCACCTTAAATGATTTGGTCACATAAAATGCCAGCCTTTCAATGACCTAGTTAGGAGAGTAGATGTATTAGATTTGGCCTATGTTAAGAAAGATAGGCAAACTTAAAAAGACATGATCAGAAAGTATTAGAAATGCCTTTTTTATTAGATTTAAATAAGAAATTGACTCATAGAAGGACACAATGGAGAAAAATAATTCATGTAGCCGACCCCACGTAGTAGATAAAGGCTTGATGTTGTTGTTGTCAAAGAGCACAATGTGTTAGTGCACTTATTTAAAGCACACTCATTTGTATGTTCATAAGCTCTTCATATTCACGTAATATTTGGGATCATGAAAATCCCAATTTGAGTAAACATAAATTTTATTCCAAATAACACATCTAAAAGAAATAAAAAAATTGAAATGATGACTGACTTTTCTCAAGAAACCAAACCGGAGACCAAACAAGCTCAAAAAGTTAGTGCTATCCATGAATATATGGACCAATCACATAGCATAATAGTGTACTCTAATGGAAATAGTGTTATATATATATATATATATATATATATATATATATCCTTATTCTACAATCTTTTTCAACTTGATGAACGGAATAGTGAATTTAAGCTGGTAATTCAATATTTTCTAATGCCATGGATATAAAGATGGAAAGATGTTCTCAAAGTTTTCTTCTTGCAGGAAAACTGCTTGGTTGTTTTGTTGGTAAATGTTCTGGAAGTATTAGATCCATAGCTCGGCATCCAGAGCTACCGCTGTTAGCTTCTTGTGGTAAGTTCCTTATTTGCGTCTTTTTTTATTCATTTATACATTTACGTGATACTAGAGTCTGGCATGCGTTTACTATTCACGAACTTGAAGCTTGAAACTTCTATGGTTGTAACATTTTATTAGCTTAACCTTTTATCGTCATGAACCTCTATTGTCTTTTGTAGGACTAGACAGCTATTTGCGCATTTGGGATTCCAGAACTCGACAACTTCTATCTGCAGTATGTTGGACTATATGCCTATCTTGTTCTCGTAATTTATTCCCTGTTTGTACACAATATGTATGGCTGGCTTGGGTTATTTTGTATTGTTGCTCCCTTCATCTTACTAAACTATTTCACATTTTGGCATAGGTGTTTCTCAAGCAACATCTAACAAATGTAGCAATTGATTCGCATTTCTATAGTGAAGGTCTTCTCTCTCTCTCTTTTTCTCTCTTTTTCTCTCTTTATCCACACACACACACACCAATGTTGTTCATGTATAATATTAAAATATCCTTGGGTTCTTTGCCTGCTTTTACGGTGGATTTTGTATGTCATTAAAATGATCAATGTTTCATTTGACTTTGTGCAATCTACATGCTATGATGAAGTTTAGGCTGAGATTGAAAATAGCTCTATGAATTTGATGATAGCGAGTTAATTGGCCGTATTTGCATGCATACCACTTTCAATAGGACAATTTTAAAAACGAGACTGACCACATTTAATATGAGGTGCTACCGCAAGCCAGGTTCACTGCTTTGTGAAAACTGGTGACTTTTCTTGCTTTATACTAACAGTGTTGAGCTTTATACTAAACTAGCTGTGCACCTAATCTGCACAGTTTGCCTTACAAAAAGAAATGGTAGGTCTTGAGGAGTATTTTTAACCTCTTGCCATCCCAAATAATTGAAATGTTGCGGGAAGTTCAATCATGTCATTTATAATATATTTGATTGAAGCTTGTCTTCTCTTTGTATTTCTATTTTGACTTATTTTATATTGTAAATATATTTGTAAGTTATTGCTTTCCTTTATGTCCCATCTTGAACAATTTAAGAAATTATGTGTAATTTTTTCTTGTGAACCTATATCTTTCTTTAGTTCATCAAACGTACGTCTTCACTATGTGCTGGACTTTCAACTTTGTCCTCCATTGCATGTCTAAATAATGCATATTTTCTTATGTTCAATTTTGGAGTTAAAAATTTACTTGAATAGTTCGTACTACCAAGTTTCCCAAGTCTTATTTTATAAGAGCAATATATCTTTGCTAAGGCTTTTACTTGTATAATAATAGCTTGCGAACTTGATTTTAATTTTTGTCTAGTACATTCCGTTTTGTTAAAGGCAAGCAGGGTGCCTAACTGCTCGAGCAATGTTAGGTGATGTCTTAGTGCTTCATATGCCTATCAAATGTACACTTTGACTTAAGGTGTGCCTAGGTTAGCAGCGTGACTCAGTTGTTTAGTTGTGAGGCTGAGTGTTTTTCCTTGATTGAGGAGATTTATACTTAGGTGATTGCCTTTTCTTAATCGAAGAGATGCATGATAGTACTTCAAATGTAGAAGATGAGTTAGTTTTTGGTGATGTGATATTCTGACATGAGTTGATGCGGAAAAAATCTCGAGTCAGAGAAATTAGGATTCATATCAGATTAAATTAATGTGTCATATATTAAAATTATGAAAGAGTAATTGAGCATAGTTTACTATGTGATAATAATGTTTCTCAAAATCAGTTTGGATTTATATCAGGTTGGTCTACTATGTAAGCTATACATATGCTAAGAGGTTTGATAGAGAAGTATAGAGAAGTAGGATCTATGTATGATATTTATTGATTTAGAGAAAACATATGATAAGTCTAAGAGAAGTATTCTGGAGAGTTCTAAAATAGAAAGTAGTTAATAATACTTATATTTAAATAATTAAGGATATGCATACAAGAGCTGTTGTATTCAAATATAAGGTGGTTTGATAAAGTATTTTCCTATTTTAGTTGGATTACATCGAGGATGAACTTTAAGCTCATATCTTTTTGCTTTAATCATGGATATGCTTACTAGATATTTGCAAGAGGATGTACCATGGTGTATATTTTTGGCTACTGATAATCTTGTTGTTGACAAGACTAGATAGAGAGAAAGTTGATGAAAAACTTGAATTATGGAGGCCAACTTTATATTATAGAGGTTTTCATTTGAGTAGATCTAAAACTAAATACATTGAGTGTAATTTTAGTAGTAATAGATATAGTGGAGGGATTGTGATGTTGGGTGATCAAGTCATTAAAAAAGAGTACACATGTTATATATTTCGGGTCTATTATTCAAAGTGATGGTGAAATAGATGGGGATATTATTAGTAAAATTCAACTTGGATGGTTGAAGTGGAGGAATGCATTGGTTATATTGTTTGATAGGAAAGTACCCCTCAACTTAAAGGAAAATGTTATAAGATGATGGTGAGACCCGCAATGCTTTATGGTGTAAAATGTTGACCATTAAAATAGAAGCATAAAATTAAGTTAGGTGTTGTAGAGATGTAAATGCTTAGTTGGATGAGTGGCTTTGCACTTAGAGACAAAATGCGAAATGAGTATATAAATGAAAAGATTGGAATAGCTCTAGTGGTAGATTAGATTAGAGAGAGTTGCCTTAGATGGTTTGGTTACATAAATTGTCAGTTATAGTTGTCAACGGTGAATGACGCAACTTTGTGTAAAGGTCCATTTGGAGTCATGACACATAGTGCAAGGCTTTAAAGATAAACTATCATAATAATGAAAGACAATCATATAAGAAGAATATAAATCATACTTGATAAAATCATTTCATCTACTATGCATAGTTATAATTATAAATACAAACCTATTTCAAGGTCATACACTCATACTTGCAAAGATGGGTATTTTCTTAGGTGCATTCTAGTGTTGTGCTTAAAGATTCATAAAATCAAGTTCATTAGAACAAATATGCTCCATAACTATTCCATATTTGTGTGAAAAAATTTAGTTGATGGCTTGAGAACCAAAGAGTTCATTGGAACAAGTATGCTTCAAGCTAGGGGTATCAATGTTAAGGGAAGGAAGGAATATCCAGACAAACAATGAGCAGTGGAAGGAAGGAATACTCGGACGGACGAGCTCCAGAATCATGTGAAGGGAGGCGGAATCCATGTGGAATCGAGTGAAGGGAGCGAAACCCTGTGCGGAATCACATATAGGGGCATCTGTGAGGTTTTACAATTTTGATCGGGCGTGACTCGTGAGGGTTGCTGCATGAGATTCTTTAGGTTTAATTAATAAATGAATAACTAATAACATAAAATTTATTATTATATTATTTAGAAATTAAAATTATATAACCCGAAATTCAAATTGCGCGTGCGCACATATGACTCAATGGCTCGCGCCAACTTGAACTTGTGCGCCGCACCATGCAGCTGGTGTTGTAGGTGCACCGCGTAGCGTCGAGCCATGCCCCATGGTGCGCGCCATTCTATGCCATTGATAAGTATGACGTCGACCATCCGATGACCTTGTTAGGAAATCAACTGTATTAGATCCAACCTGTGTTTAAAAAGGTAGTTGTAGACCTAAAAGACTTGGTTATAAAGGATTACAAATGACAATTTCTTTAAATTAAATTTGATTGTGATTGTGACTCGTAATAGGATACAATGAAAAAAAAAAAAAGATTCATTTAGCTTACCCTATGCAGTGGGATAAAGACTTGTGTCATCATAGTGAGCAAATTAAGGGTGCACATAAGAAAGCAAGTATACAAGTTTCAAATTATTGAATAATAAATCTTAGGATTAAGAAGAAGATTGGGAGGCGATAGAGGAATAGATAAATGTTAGAAATCCAATGACGGTAAGGAGAGCATGAATGATGACATATTGAATAGATAGCCGCAAATAGTTGTATATCCTTAAAGCTATTTATGCTTGGATAAATAGTTTGTTGTACTTGTTCAAGAAAATTTATTTACCAAAATTTTAATTTTGAAATATAATGGAATTTAAAATTAATAAATTTTCTACGCTTAATTTAATGTGATGAATATCAGTTCATAACCTTCAAAAATATTTTTTCGTACTTGAGATTAGTTTGTAAGTGATGTAACTATTTCTTTTTACAGCGCTGCACTTTGTATAGTCAATCGTGTATGGTTGTGTTTAGTACTTTGTACATTGAACAATTAGATAGCCTTTAGAGCGCACATTTGACAAATCCGTTGCATTCTTTGATTCGATTGGCATTTCATTATATATATTTTTGTTTCGTTGAAAGGATAGGTTTTACTTGTAAAATGGATAAGTTTGACATTGTTGTTAGATATACCCACTAGGATAATTCAAATTTCTACCAATGATAGCGGCTTGAAAGATAGAAGGTGACACTTATTGCCTTTAAATGTTCTTTCTTGTGCTTTGCAACAATGATGTGCAGTCAAAAGTAGCAAGGGCCCATTCAAGTTGTTTACTCTCATATTTGTGTATTACATCTGAGAGTTCCTGTGGCCAATTAGTTTTTTTTCCCTTACGGCAAGATTATCGTTAGTTTATAAATAGAAAAAAGTAAGATTTTTTCTTAAGGGTTGTGACATCAGCCCTACTATCTCCTTGTGCATCGCATTCTTGCAGTATATATAAGCAAATGTATTGAGGAAGTAATGCTTTACTCATCAAAAGATTATAACACCAGATCAACACATTTGAAGCAAGAAAAATTACAAGCACATAATGCATTAAAATAACATTTATTTTTCTTTCTCTTTCAGCTCCTGTAGGTGATGCTACTGATCAAATACGTGATTTGCAAGATGATGAGCAGACCGAAGCAGGTGGCTTGAGAGCAATGGAAAAATCACCAAGAGGTAAGAAGAATAGCATTGAAAAAATTAAGAAAAAGATGGGAAATAAAACCCAAATGGTTGTTGAAGCATTTGAACTTAGCGCAAGTGAAGATGAAGACATGGATAAGCAAACTTCCTTGAAGAGAAAAGAGTTAACCAAGTTGAAGCGGAGCAAAAATCTAAAGAGAAAGAAGAGGAAGATAATTGCCAATAACGAGGACCAAATCATGCTTAGGTGTTATCCCAACTGAAATAGCATATACTAACACGCGCTAACATGTTTGTTAGTGCTAATGCAAGTTGAATTTCTCAACTTGGCTGATTCTGGGAACCCTTTAATGGTGTTCCTGTTATTGGGGTTTCTGTTTTCTTGTCTGTTCGTCTGTTTTTATTCAATTATCAAACGACGCAGAGAGGATAGTTATTTAAGCCAGGTAAAATTTATAGATGAGGAAATTGAAATTTCTCAAGGTGAAGACGGTGGTTTTAGCGAAATATTGAACTATGGGCTTTGTAATATGCAATTTTGGGCAGAAGCATTCTGTATGAAATTATTTCTAATTTGCATTCCTTATCATGTTTGAGATTTTTATCATTATTCCAAAGGAAATATGAACGAATTTTTTTTTTAGGCTTTTATCTCGTATATCAGAAAATTTAGAAAATAATGCTACTACGAAAAGAGGATCAGAATAAAGACGTTTAGCAATCTATCATCCTTAGTTTAATTGTAGTAAGTATGCGGTTCTCACTGGGGTCAATTATAGAACCATGTATTGGATACTCATATTCAAACCCACGATGTATCCGCTCATACCCATTGAATACGGGTGGGTATGAGTACATGACCTCATAGGCGGGTATTAAATATCTTGGGATAAATCAATTTATATTGCTAACAATTTTATGTTGTATATTATCACAATTCTCACTATACAGTGCACAATATTGAACCACAATGTGACAACGATCAATTTTGATATGCAGCTTGAAAGTTTGTAGTCAGAACAAAGGGCAGCAAGCTTGAAGACCATTAATCCATGGTGAATTGAGTTAAAAAAGCATGAAAAGTGGGTGGATATGGGTGGACTAAATTTACCTGCACAAAGTGGGTATCCAATGGGTATCAAACTAGGACCTCATGTAGGGATTTGGGATAAAAATTGAAAGATTTTTTTAAGTATAATTAAATAGAACATGGAAGAAAATAAAAAAAAGAAATAATTTGAAAATAAACATGTACGAAATTGAAATATACGCAAATAAGGATTTTAATATAATATTTTTAAAATTTCTGGGTTGTCTGATGCACTAAATTGGGCTTTGTTTCTCTTCTAAAGTTTCAAATTCCTGTTCATTCATGAAATTTGTAGGGCCACGTTTTTTGTCTAGGTCCTAGTTGAGGAAAGAAAGGGTAATTTTTTGAAACTATTCTAGTAGATCTATCCATTGTCCTTTTTTATATAGATGATCAAGTGTTTTTCTTTTAAAAGTAATTTATTTTTATCATGTATTTTTATAAGATATTTATAGCATAAAGAATTAAAATAAAATTCTCCTATTAACAGAAAGTGTGTATTTTTAAATAATCACTACAAGGGTATTTCTAAAAAAATGATTTTAAAATATCCTTTCTAATTTTTTTAATTAATAGAATATTTTCTTCATATTAAAATTAACTAATTAGAGTAATACATTAGTAGTTATAGTTAATATAATATGATGGTATATTAATAATATTTAAGAATGGTTGTATACTAGCCAAACTAAATACTTAAAATTATGTTGGGATACCATTAAGATAGTATAACATTAAAAATCTCCATCTTTTTTTGAGATTATCGATTAATAAAGATGATTACCCCTTAATTAAATAAAAGATAAAAATGAATATCAACTATGTTCATATTAATTCATATGAGTTTTTTTTGTCACGTATCAATTTAATTGCGAAATATGTCATTTAGATTTTGCCAATTATCTCATAAACTACATCCCAGTCAGGATAACAACTTTTTTTCTAGGATGAAGAGATTGATGGAAGGTGCTAAACGATGGACAATGGCTTGGTCAGGGGCGGAACCAGCCATAATTTTTTTTTTGGGAGGGCGGGGGGGGGGTGAATAGTAAAATAAAATTAATAGAATCCACATGTGATAATCAATTGATTGTAAAAAGGTGGACATGGGATTTTTCCAAAAATTAAAAGGAATGTTATCAAAAAGAGTTGGTCTAGTTATATAGTATCCTTCCACAGTGTTATGATTGCCAAAATTATCCATAAAAATATTTTCAAAAGTTTTCTAAAACTTAATTTATGAATTGCACTCTGATACCACTTGAAAGTTCATAAGGGTTATGAAACCCTAAAGACATTAATTTTTCTTTTTTTTGGGGGGGAGGGGGGGGGGGGGGAATTGCTTAAAAACTTTTGTAATAAAGACTAAAAGTTACTTAAATAATAGTATAATGAAAAAAAAAATTCAGGGCCATAGAGGGGTTCCGCCCTTAGCTTGGTGTGTTCTACTAATGGCAAAAGACTCTTTTATGACAATCTTTAACATGTATTAGTAAATTATCTTAACTTAGAGATGCACTGAAACTTCTTTCTCTTATTTATAGCTTGTTTTTATGTATGTTTAGCTGCTAGAAGACATGTTAATGGTTAAAAATGAAGATCCATGGTTTATTAATAGTAGAACTTTCATTTTTTTTAAAAAATGCGCTCCTAAATTTATGAAAAATTAAGGAAGGCTTCAAAGTTATTCCTAAATGAGTTAAATTCTCCAAATTACTTCTCTACTATTTGGTGAAGCACAAAAAGCATCAGAGCACCAAATTATAGAAATGTTCTTACCACTCGAACTCAATTCAGAATGGTTGTAGACTTAGATTGTTCCCTTTTTATGTAAAAGATAAGGCAAAAATATGGTTAAATTCTTTACACCCAGCCTCTATTACCACATGGAATGAGTTGGCCCACAAATGTTTAGGAAAGTATTTCCCACCTTGTAAGATTTCCATGCTTATAAATGATATTACTTCTTTTACTCAGTTAGAAGGAGAATCTGTTTATAAGAGTTGGGAGAGAATGAAGGAGATGCTTAAGAAATGCTCTCACCATGCTTTACTTGATTGGTTGATAATTCAAACTTTTTTCAATGGATTGGTAGGATCCCTTTGAGCCATAACTAATGTTGCAACTAGAGGTTCTTTGATGTCAAAGCCTTTTGAAGAGGCTTATGAATTAATTAAGGAAATGGAAATAAATAATTATCAATAGTCTGCTGATAGGATGAATCCCAAGAGAGTGGTTGGAGTTTATGAAAATCATTTTTTTTTCTATTTTGATAGCTCAAGTTACAACTATTTCTAAGAAATTGGATGAATTGAAGGTTAATAGTGATCTAAGGAGATATTGCACTACTTCGCCAAGATATGTAGCATAGTAGTGCTTCCCCATAGAATTTGAACAAATATATCATAAAAGTAATAGGAATGAATCCTTGGAAAAAAGTATTCTATAGTTAGAAATGCAAACGAATAATCAATCTAATGCTATAAAAAAGGAAGATCAAATAGGGCAATTGGTTAGGATAGTGCATTATCAAAATTTGTTAGAAGAATGTTATAATATCCAACCTAGAAGTAGGAAAGGGTTAGGAGACCCTTATAAAGAGGATGATCAACCACAAGATAATGATGATCAAGAAGAATAATAAGATAACCTGGCCCATTCTAAATAACATGAATATCTTAAAGAACATAAAAAGGTTTATAAAAAAAGTTTTTGAGGGACCATCACTCCCTTTTCATGAGAGGTTGATCAAAAGAAATCTCGACAAACATTTCTCCAAGTTCTTAGAAATTTTTAAAAAATTAATCCTTAATATCACATTATCACAAGCTTTAGAAAACATGCCTAGTTATGATAAATTCTTGATGGATATTTTGAGTAAGAAAAGGATGATTTGTGATTATAAATTGTGGCACTAACCAAAGAATGTAGTTCCATTTTACAAAAGAAAATTCTTGAAAAACTTATGGATCCTTGGAGTTTTACCATTTCTTTAACTATTGGAGATAAATTCTGTGGGAGAGCTTTATGTGACTTAGATTCTTGTGTTAACCTTATGCATTTATCCATATTTAAGAGGGTAAATATAGGAGAGATTTAACCCACTTCAGCTACTCTTCAATTGGCTGATAGATCTTTTACTTTTTTAAAAAGAGTAATAGAGGATGTTTTGATCAAGGTTTATAAGTTCATTTTCCCTATTAATTTTATTATTATTTACATGGAATAAGATAGGGAATTGTTGATATTATCTACCTCATGACCTATTTTAGAGATTTTGATGATAACAAACATATGCTTGGATGCTCTAATGTGTGTGCTAAGTATTTCAGGTATAATGATGTGTATTGTAATTGCTTATGGAATTTACATTGCACAATTCAAGATCAATCAAATGTTGAGATTAAGATGGACCAAGATGGATAATTTGAAGCCTTTTACATTATCGTAGGAGTTTTCCATCAATATTACTTGCATTATTTGATTTGCTCACAATCTAAACATCTTTTAATTATATATTAATCTTACATAATTAAATAAATATTATAACCTTCATAAGTTTCATAATTATTTTCAAATATGAAAAGTTATATAATTAGGGAATTAAAGATAATAAGCTTACTTAGCAAAACTTTTATTATGTAATTATTTTAAACTGACTTGTTTCATATCTATTTCTTAATGAATGATTAATTTTATATATTACATAATATTATTATATTAATATTCAATATATCCATAAATATTTAAAAAATGTGCATGAGTCTCTATTTTACTGAATTTGATATTATGCTGTCAGAATCGTGGTCTAGTTATTATTGGCATTAGAATGTTTGGATTCCGTAGATATAAATTGATATATTATATAACTCATTTGGATCTCATTTGAATTTATAATGAATTTTCAAACATTATCTATTTTAAATAAAACCTGCTACTAGCCGTTTTAGCCTTATTTTGGATGCATATGATTGACTTTTTGACTTCCCATGTGGCTAGCTGTTTTTCTAGCCGTTTGAATGTCATATATATTTAATATAAATGAATTCTTAATGGAATATAATATTATTATTCATAAAACATATTAGAATAATATTTTTATTCAAATAAGCCTTTACTTACCTTTTCTCTTTAAATACCTCTCTTCTTCTTCATGTAAGGGCTGCTTACACAAGAAAAACTCCAGCAATTCTTTCATACTTCCTTTCTTCTTTACATGCTAAATCTTGAGAGGAGAAGCCTTGAGTTTATTCCAAAAGTTCTTTTCATTTGTGAGATCGAAATCATTGTTGGAAAGCTTCAACACACAAAGCCGAGTAGCATCTCTTAAGTTCTTGAGTTTGCTTTCCATCTCTAAATCTCTACTTGCTGCTCTTTTAGCTTTCACTATATATTTCTTTCTTGAAAATATTTATTTTATGGTGAAATACTTGTTAGAAATTGTATATTAAAGTTTTATATATCACATCTTTTAAATTCATAAAGTTTAGCAAAGCAAGTAGTTTAACTTCTTTAAGGTGGCATAGATTTACATATATATTCTTATTCATTTTACTTTATTTGAAAAGTTAAAGTTTAAATCACCAAGAATATATTTTTATTTCATATATTATTCTTATTTTAAATAAAATACAAATCTATCTTAAAGTGAGCAAATTTAATATGTCATTTGCAAGTAGTGAGGTGATTAAGATTTATTTGTAAGATCACCTCAAGTATTGTGGATATTTTATTGCAAGATTATTTGAGCTTTTCTTATTTATATCAAATTGTATTTTTCATTTTCTTTATCTAAGTCATTTGGCTTAGAGAAGTTTTAATTGTAATTAGATTGGGTTGTACTCGCCCGTATAGGAGAGTACTTAGGTTGTAAAGAACTTCTTTGGTTTAAAGAAGTGAGGTTTGCAAAGCAAACCTGGGAATAATGAATTCTAGCCCGAGAGTTGGCTAGCGTGGATGTAGGTCGGATTGGAATCCGAGCCGAACCACATAAAAATATTGTGCCTCTTATTTTCATTCCTTGCATTTATTTTTCTTTTTTTATATATAAGAATTATTGTGTGATTACCCAGTATTTTCAAAAGTGCTTTAAAATCATTTTAATTTTCTTCTTTTAATAAAAATTTTAAAAATCCCAATTCACACCCCCCTCTTGGGGTGCCATAGTCATCCAACAGAAATTACCTCTCAATTTAGGAAGATATTTCTTAGCAATAGGGAAAGAAATGATTGATGTTCAAAAGGGAGAATTAACTATGAGAATTCAGGGCCAAGAGGTGACAATTGATGTATTAAAATCTATAAAATTTCCTCGAGAAAGGAAAGAAGATGGCTTTAGGGTAGATTTGGATGATGTATTAGTAGAAGATATCAAAGAAAAATTATTGGAAGGAGAATTGATTGAGGAAGAAGAAGATGAGAAAAATCAAAATACATTTAATAGGCCCATTACAATAAAATTTATCAAAGAAAGTCGAAACAAAGGATTTTTTGAATTTTTTGAAATTTCATCTTTAGATAAAACTCTGAAACTATTTATTAAAGAAGCTCCAACTTTAGAACTTAAAGCTTTAACTTGTCATCATAAGTATGGATATTTGGGCAAAAATTTCACTCTTCTTATAATCACTTTCTACAAATATAGAACAACATCAAGAGATTGAATTGATTAAGGTTCTAAGCAACTTTAAAAAAACTTTTGGGTGGACTATTACTAACATTAAAGCAATTAATCCTTCCATTTGTATGTATAGAGTATTAATGGAGCAAATTTTATACCTAAAGCTGATCCTCAATGAAGAGTTAACCCTTCAATGAAAAATGTTGTTAAAAAAGATATTTCTAAATGGTTAGATGCTGGGATTATCTATCCAATTTTTGATAGTTCTTGGGTTAGTCAAAAGAACATAATGAATTAATACCCACTAGAACTATCACATGTTGAAGGACTTGTATTGGCTATTGGATACTAAATAAATAAACCATAAAAGATCATTTTCCTTTTCCGTTTCTTGATCAAATACTTGATAGGTTGGCAGGGCATCTTTTTTATTGCTTTCTTGATGGATGTTCTTCTTATCATGAAATACCTATTGCACATGAGGATCAGAATAAGACTACTTTCACTAATCCCTATGGAACTTTTACTTTCAGGAGATTGCCTTCTAGTTTATGTAATGCTCCTACTACTTTTTAAAGATGCATGATGTCAATTTTTTTAAAAATTAATTGAGTAGGGTATTTAAATAATCATGGATGATTTTTTTTTTGTATTTGATACTACATTTAATTCATTTATAGAACACTTAACTGCAATTTTAAAAGATGTGTTGAAATCAATTACTGCTAAATTAGAAAAAAATGTTAATTTTTTGGTAATTGAAGGCATTATCTTAGGGCATAATATATTTAGGAAAAGATTAGAAGTATAAATTATGAAAATTCAGCTGATTAAAAAACTTCCTCCATCCAACTCTATTAAGGGGATTAGAAGCTTCTTATAGGACATGCTATTTTTATAAAAGATTTATAAAATATTTATCTAAAAGTTCTAAGCCTTTATGCCATTTATTGCAGAAAGATCCTTTTATATTTGACTCTGCATGTTATAAAAATTTCAATACTCTAAAAAATTATTTGACTACTACTCATATTGTAATTGCACATCATTGATATTTACCTCTTGTAGTGATGTGGGAAGCTAGTGATGTTGCTGTTGGTGAAGTTCTAGGACAAAAGAGGGATAAGAAATTCCATATTATTTTCTATGCTAGCAAAACTTTGAATTCTACATAATCTATTTATACAAGTACTGAAAAAGAAATTTTAGTTGTTATTTTTTGCTTTTAATATGCTCAAATCATATTTGATAGGGAATAAGGCTATTATTTACATTGATCATGCTTCCATCAAATATTTTATGATAAAGAAAGACACCAAATCAAGACTCATTTGGTGAAATTTATTGTTACAAGAATTTGATGTAGAAATTTTTTATAGAAATAAGACTAAAAATCAAATTGCTGATCATCTATCTAGTTTTGAACAACA